GCACTTAAAAGTGAAAATAAAATACAAAAAAACACCCCATCACAGAAGGCCAGAAAACTTAAACTATATATAAAAACTAYCACAAAAACCAAACCTATATATATAAATTCAAGAAGGCCATGCAAATAGAAACTTTTCACAGTAGCAACTCTTTATCTTGTATGGATAACATTGCTAAGATAATCAAGTAAGAAAACATTCTCATAACAAATCTCACATGGCAATTAAGGCACAAAATTTTCTAGGAAATGAGATCAATATTGGSACATATTAAATGGAAGTATAGTAATTAAGATTTTCAGAATTTACCAACTACTTTTGTGAGTATAAACTTCCTTCCCTTTCTCAGTTTCAGCTTTTCATAACTTGAGATTTATTTCTTTAAATCAACGGTCTTTGTCTACATTTACACAGCCAGCTATAAAAGGGTTGAGCTAATTTGGGCATTATTCTAGGTTTACCRTTTTTAATGCCCAGTAACAGCATTTAAGTCTAATCAACAACATTTAGTGGCCTCAACTTTAACTTCCAGATTTTATGATGAAGATTATGCCTTAAACGTCTTCTAATTAAGACACGACTTCAGCGGAACTACATGCACCTACATCAGCAGTGAATTCTGCCTAGATTTAACTGCTCATTTCTCACACATGTGACAGCAACATTAACATACTCTCAAGTCATGCCTGGTGACACTCAGGAAATTCACTGCAGCAACTTCGCACCATTTACAGCAGTTACAGATGCTGCTAAGGAATCCAATATGCTTAAAGAGCGAGCAGCAGTTTCCAGACATACAAAGCAATGCATTTTGAAAATAAGATAGTCTTGAGTATTGGTGCACATTAGCATTTTATAATAATAATGCTCACAGCAGCTAGGTAGCTAGTTAGTCACAGGCAGACAGCTACAAAGACAGGTAGACAGATACMTGCAGCACTTTTGTCACAGAGGCCAGTGTCAGACAAAGCAGCTCATCCTTCTGCAAGTGGAAGCCGAAGCCAATTAGAGTGACTTCCACAAAGTCATCTAAGCGTCAGCAGCAACATCAGGAATAACTTCCTGACCCTATTGAAGTGTCTAGCTGAAAAGCAGCAACTTCCCAGTCCTTGACCTTCCTCCTTTATGAGTGTGGTTATACCTAAAATAGACTATTAAGCAGTTGGAAAAATGTTTGCTCATACCTTGCCCAGATTGGAAAAAAAATAGGATTTTTTCCCCTCCTTCCCTCTAGTAAGAAATAGATTTTTTTCTACTTAGAAATCTGCTGGAATTAGATATAGATTAGTTGTGAGCTCTTTTTTGGGAACCTATGGTCACAATTTTGTTGTACTTCAGTGATACAATAGCTTGAATATTTCAGCTTTTCGCTGATCGACGTTCCTAGGCATATTGCCATTAAGAGTGGAGTCCCACTTTGTTCTTCACTATTTCTAGTCCTTTCTGCCTGAAAAAGCAGCCGCCCTGAAAATTGTTCATCAGAACAGATTGGTTTACAGACTTTCTCTGGGTTGGTTTACCACATTGTTGCAAGAAGTGTTTGGGCTGCAATAAAGCAGAGAGTGTAAACGTACAGCCAAAACTACCCACAACTTCTTGCAGCAGCCAGAACTGAGTCTCCAAGGGGCAGTGAAACCAGAGCTTATAAAAGTCAGTTGGACTGGAAACAGTAGGGGAAGCAAAGGTTTAGAGACACACAAAAGACAGCTCCTTCCACAACCTGCCTTAGTCTTTTGTCTCATATCTCCTATCTACAGAGATAGAAGTTACTGTATCAACAGTTCCAGATATTCTAAGATTGTCTAGATTTTTTTTCAGAAGGCCTAGGCTAACAGAAAAACCCTTATGAGCTCAACTTTGTTAATTGTGTAGATTTCACTTAAATACATTTTGCAAGGTGCCTTACAGTAATTGTATTGACTGKTGTAAGGATATCCCAACTGAAAACTGCATCTTTTCTGGAAGCATTAAAGGAGCTAAGTTTTGTAGTGACATGGAAAAAGAACAAAGCCAAATAGAAAGATTAAAAATAAATTAATGTTTTTTGTCGCTTCATCTATATGAGACTTTTGTTCTGAGTGTTCTGACATGTATTCAGGAATCACTCCACTGAATACTTATATAGCCCTGTGGAAATCTGTAGCATAATCCAAGTACTTAGAGAAAACCACATTCTTAATGTCTTTTTGCAAGATCAGGTGTTCATCTTCTGAACAATGACTGTATTAAATCCACATTTCTATGGCGCTGCTCATATTACTATAACAACAACATAATCCTCTTTAGGAAATCATCATGTTAGACCATAGTACTAATAAGAGAATGGCATACATATATACATAAATTATTCAGTAAAATTGTGCTGTTATATCTTTGACTCTGATAGTCACTAAGTTGGAAAGCCTTGTAAATATCCARGAAAACATGAAACTTCTGTATGTTAATGACGGAATAATGAGAGGGACTCTCAGTCCATTCACAAACATGTTGAATCTGGCTGTATACAGCAGGAACTTGCTTATGAAGTAAAATTATCTGATGGTCCTTTCTTTTACATCACTGAGACTGGGTGCAAGACTTAGAAGATCATTATTTGTTTTAGGGGTATGAACACCCTATTATTAACATAGCGGTACTCTATTATGCAAGACAACCACTTCCCTTGCAAAATACAAAATAGTAACTGCCAGCAGGAACAGGCATCACAATGGGACATTACATATTTACTTACTCAAATCCTCCTGTTGTGTTCAACCTCTTAGCTCATGATTACACTTGGCTGGTTTAGTACATCATGCAAAGTTATTTCAGAAAATACCACATCACTTTAAAACAGCCAGGAACACAGCATTAGTGCCACCTTACTGCTAGCCTCTTACAAAGGCTATACCACCACTGAAAGGTTCGTCATCCACATTAGGGATTCTCCAGCCCTCCAGCTCCCTGCTATTTCAAATTCCTGTTGGCATTTGTGTTGTTAACCCTTGTTGGTAATTCTTTCAACAACCTAAATACTTTGCCCCCAACACAGGCACAGCAGCATGAAGCCTATTCAGTGCAAGCAACGCACTTTGCTACCTGCGGCAGGRACACCACAGGGACACCACCAGGCAATGTGGCAGGGAGCTATTTCATATCCTGCTAGCTGTTGATAAACAGTAGGTGTCAGATGGTGACAGAGAGCAGAGTGTTAATGTATGGCACTGGAGAGCATTAGTCATGCTGGATGGCAACAATAAGCTCTCCCATATAATTAAAGATATTAAATATTTTTGATTTTTTGGCTTCCCTTTTTCCTCCCACCTTTCAGAAAACAAAAGGCCCACTCACACTTCAAAAGTAACAAAAAAATAGTGTTAGGCACCCAGACTAAGCATATTCATGTTGCTTCAACAACAAGCAGAGTTAAACAGAGAGAAAATTCRCAAATCTTACTCCAAGAGCTTCTGCTAACAGCACCTGTGCCACTACATGTTCCCCCATCACTGAAGCGTTCATCATCAGAGTGCTTAAAGGCTGTACAACATATAAGTTGGTTTGAGAAAAAGGAAAAGTCTATAAATTAATCTGTAGAATTAGAAAGACAATACTAGATTTTGTGGATTTGAAGACAGTTAAATGGTAGGTTCCAAGAACGGAAAGAAAGGAAGGAAAAACAAATAAGAAGTGTGAACGTAAGGCTACAGCAATTTAAAGGTCTTTTATCATCTTCATTACACAAGTAGCTGGATGCTTTTCAAAAGCAGAACACGTAGCATAAATAAGCCTCAGAGAAATAACAGATTGTGTTGCAGTCGAGAGTAACTTCTTTTTGAGTACAAGCAATTTAAAACACTACTTCCTTGCTCCTTGCTTACAGTTTTGTAAGCATAAAAAAGAAAAAGAAAAAGAAATATTTGGAGTACTTTCTCAATAGAATAACTAATTTATCCACCTAATTCTCATTTCCAAAATTAAACACTTTAGGACTATGAAGGCAGTTAACTTCCGCTGTAATTTAGGATGGTAAGTGACTCTGTGCAAGAAAACAAACATACACCTTGGTTTCTAAATCTCTATTTTTTTTTTAAATTATGACTCTACAAATTATTCCTATGAAGAAATAATAACCATCTAATATGGACTACATAAGATACTATATATATCAACAATATCAATATCTAAAAAGCTAGAAAATTCATACAAATACATGGTATGCATTATGATATCATTATTAAAGTTTAGTAAAAAGCAAACTTCACTCAAATATATGAATTTCTAGAAATGTATCTTTTTAAGCTATTCTCTTATTTCTTCGCAGTATGAATCTTATTTTCCCTCCAGGAAAGGAGCAGAAAGTGGGGAGGGGGAAGAAGGAAACTTTATTAGTCCTTCCGAAAGTTCACAGATATTTTCTTGGAACTTAGCTAAGTGATGCAACATATGCCTCCTGTTCATACATGAATTAGTCCGACACCAAAGTGCCAAAATTATTAGCATGTTATTTTACACATCTGTCTTTTCCATGAGCCAGAAGATCCCCAAGGGAACTATCTCCTCACCTTCTACCTTATGCATCCTCTTACAACAATGTTTTCAATTAAGCAGAACTCTTCAATATGCTTATCTGAGCAAGGTGGCACTGATCCAGAAAGTTTACTGCTCAAATACCTATTTGTAGGAGGATCCAACCCAGTTCTGGGACTGCTTTACACTTCCCTTTTTAAATCTGAAGTTGAAAAACATTCACATCTGAGGATTTTGCTCTGCAAAAATGCAAAGTTTGTACTTAAARGGAAGTTGGATCTGGGATTCCAGTTTGGGTCAATATTTGGAATCATTATTCAAATCCCATAATGATCACATAATTTAAAAACAAAAGCTATTGCATACATATTGCATATGCATAGAACATAATTTCAACAACTGCAGAATTAAAATGTGAAATTCAACTACTGTCTTGAGCCTATTTTACAGGTGGCATAAGTGATATGGAACAGAAACACAGCAAAGTCACTCACCTTCCTCATCTGAAACATCTAAGACTTCAGTCATTGTTTCAGGTACATTTAGCTTGTGCTTTTCTGTTATGGTCTGCAAAGACAGAATCATCAAGCCACAAATCAAACATCAGAAAAAAAGTTTACAGCAGGATATTTTTCAAAAGTAGCAGCATTAGGATCTGTTGAGACACTATTATAACATGCTTCCTCTTCCCTCAATTCTACTTTTTATCTTTAGTCGAGAAACTGTTGTTCTCTGTGCTACTATGAGGTCGCATTTACTCTGGCAGAAATGTACAAAAAAAATAAATAAATAAATAAAAGAAAAATAATGACCTGGTGAGAGAAGGCGGGGAAAAAAAAAAAAAAAAAAAAGGGAGAGTGGGAGGGGAAGAAAGCTCTCAGTGAATCTATTTATAAATGGTACACATAAAATAATTCAGTTCAATGTTTCCAAGATGATTTTAAAATGAATTAGGTAATGTCTACAGAAGAGCTTCGCAAAAGTCAAGTGTGGCATATGGAAATTATTAAATCGTAAAGCATTTGGAAACAGAGTTATGAACAACTGGAAATTTAGGAAAAAAAGAAAGACAGAGACAGAGACATGTAAAATACTTAGACCAATCACTTGAAGCATTTTTTCCACCAGAAAGTGACTATACACCATGTACAAATGATATTCTTTTCATAAGGGACATATATTCCCCAAATCAGGTACATGTACATCATTAGAAAAACAAGATTAGAAATTCTGATATATTCTGATATTTTGTGCACCTAAAAGCTCTCAAATACCACAATACAAGGCAAGTATAAACCAAGGACAGTCAGGATTACATTGTTTATTTGTGAGAAAGTAGAAGTATGCTGAGGAACTTCTTCAACTTCAGGCAACAGAAGATGCTCAGAGACACTGAATCAGAAAGGTCCTCTTTGTATCTAGATGCATAGTGGGGAAGGAGATKAAAAAAATATAGCAGAGGAAGTGAGAAGTGCAAGGCACGACAGAGTTGCTTGCAGAAGACTCTTCAGTGCATATCAAAGGCAAAACGTCAAAGACTTGAAAAGGAGCTGTAATCAGAAACCACACTAGTCACAATAGAAAGATAAGTGTTTCCCGGGCTCCACCCAGGTCTGCAGCTGAAGAGCTCGGAAGGGCAGGCAACACATCCTCCTGAAAGGCATGTAGCAGCAGATGTGCCCCTTCAGCGTCAAGGCCACAYGTCCCTCGATATTCACACTGCAGTGGGGGTTTGCTCTCAAATGGGGATGAATCCATTAAATAGTGTTATATGCAGAAGCAGTGAAAGAGCATACCATCTGAGTGATGATTAATGTCAGACAACCCTGGGGCTCTTTCAGAACGTGCTCTTGGGAAAGGTGCCCAGTGATATCAAGCAGTGAAGCCAATAACAACTTTTGCTGTGAAGCTTACTAGATATTTCCAGATTTGTATTTCTACATGTCTAACAAACTAACAAAGATAGTATTCTTGATTGCTATATAAAATTGTATTTTTATGAAAAAGTTGCCAAATAGTGCAACTCTTCTGGAAAATTGATTAAAAGCCTGCTTTACATTTTTGAAATATATCAAGTGTGACAACAGTTTTCAATTCACTTTCCTGAAACAGAGGGAAAGGACAATGCCATTCATTTCAGAATAAGTGCTGACATAGGCTTCACTTAAATAATTTTCATGATTCAAGAAATTATTTTTCCTAATATGCGCTCTGGGCTGAAATATTATTTTGCATTCAGCAGTGTCTCCATAAGATATCCCACTTTCTCCCCTGCATTCCTGTGGCTCTCCTCACAGAGGAACATTATGCCTCACTTACCCTGACAAAACCAGTAGGGTCAGGTGAAGAGGTCAATACCACCTGAGTGACAGAGTGCTCATCTCTTCCACAACACAGCAGTAAGGACAAATAAATCCTAAAGATCATTCAAACTGGACTGAAGAAACACACCCAGGTGAAGGGGCAGTGTATTTTTCAAATGTGGTAGAAAGCACTATTTCTGATTTACTGGTATTGAAAGTGTAATAACACAAAGTGTAATCCAAATTCTCCACTGTCAGTTTGCATGCTCCCTGGGTAGAATAACTTAAAGCCAAGAAAAAAAACAACAATAACAAAAAAAAACAAATAAAAAAGAACTAGAGCAAAAAAGTGCTCAAATTCTAAAGAAAGGGGAAAGAAGGGAACAATTCAGGAGTCACAAATGCTATGGTTTTTTGTTTCTTGCATGACTTGAAATCACAAAACATGATTTAGTTCCATGATTCCATTTCATTAGAATAACACAGGAACAAAAAGATGTCAGAATGTGGTATTATATAGCACAGGTATTGAGTGTTTTCACAAAAAGTATAGTGGCTACATTTCATATTGTCATTTTACTAACGTAGATGTGCAGACCCTAGTAGTTAAGGTATCCGTATCCATTGGATATAAGGAGAGCAATTTATCCATAATTCATGAGTACAAGACCTGTATAATAACAATCTGGAGTTGACTAATGCTCTCAACATTATTATTTACAGAGAAGCATTAATAATTTCTTTCCCAGTTTTCCCTTCAATACAGGAAAATAATTTAAAAGTGTACAACTGGAATAATTTGGAAAACAGAATGTGAGTGTGTGTTTTCTCAGAGAAAAATCCATCCTGTCATCTACAAAACACAAAACACTGAACTCAGCAGGAATTAATGTAACAACTGTTATTTATGGGGTTCCACTAGCTACAACACTGGGAGTTTAAAAAAAAAAAAAAAAAAAGTTAGAGATTTGTCTGGAGATTTGTCTTCAACTTAAATGGCAGTGACTTGAATATTGATAAAGGCTCAGCCTGTGTAACACCCTCCATGCAACACTGCCACAGCCTAAGAGAATGAAGTAGCTATGGTGATAACACCTTTTTTTTTCCCCATCACTAAGTGTTATGCTCCGGGTTGGCAATACCAACCTCACCACCTGGAGATCTTTATTACAGAAAGTGTCTATTATTTATTCCCCTTTTCAACACTTCTTCAAAGCTATATTTAATCAACATAGGTGGTGGTGACCACCAATGCCAAGGGTTTACATTTCATGTATGCCTAAAGTGGGTACAAGACACAGACAAATCTGAACAATCTGCTGTGTTGACTGACCATTTGACTTGTTAAAGCAGTGCTTCTCTGGAATTTAGTTTTGGGTATAGATGCATGTAATAGCAATCTGAAACTTGTACTCTAAGTATTAGAGGCTAGCTATGCAACTAAGTTTGAGTTACAATCATAAATCTCAAGCATCTGGTATCCAATAGAAAGGTCCCTTACCCTCATAGTTTAAAAAAAGCATTTGTCCCAAGTAACTCACTCAGAGGTGTCTTTTCATCCTGTAGATTGCTACTATTATTAAGCATCATACCTGACATAGCAATCTATGTTATGCAATGTATGATACAATGGAAGTTACAACTTTTAACAAGCACAAATGGGAAAAGTGTGACAGAACACAGTAAGAGAGATAAAGGCATTATTTTAGGCTAAAAAAATACACTTCTGAAAGCAAGGCCAGGGCTTCTTGAAAACATTTCCTAGACTTTGTTTTCTTAATCTCTGCATAGAGATATGTATGTGTTTGTGTATGTACACATGTAATGTGTTTTACAATTAAATATATTAAGTCCACATTCTCTAGTAAGAGATTTCTGGAATTAGGCTGGAATTCCTTGCCCAAACCTGACTCAGATTTGCAGCTCATTAATAAGTCATAGCTCACTATTTATAACCTTATGTCACGCAACTTTTATTCCATATTCCTCAGTTCACTGTGGGACATGCAGTAAGAATGCGACAAAGCCAAAACTATTTTCCCACTTCTTTTCAAAATGCTAAATTTTTTCCCCTTCCCTTTTACTCCCCTTATTTTCTTCTACCCCTTCCCCTAATTTAGGAGCAGCTTTTAGGTAATCAATGTTATTTCTTAAATGACATACTGTTTCTGGTCTGCTCTCCTCCTAACTGCTGTAACAGTTGTAGCAGGGAAGTAAGAAAGAGACCCTTTCCCCTCTCGGAGCACCAAAATACACACGTTTTTCTTGGCTTAAATCAACAATATCAACTTGCTGATGTTCAGCACTTACTATTGACAAACCCTAAAATCAAAACAGAGACCACTGAAAGTGTAAGCACTGGGAAAATAAAGAAAGGATTTCTCCATGTTTTGGAAAAATAGGATCCATTCAAACTGAGAGTGTAAAAAGTAAAAAGATTGATGTGATTCAGAGCCATCTAGCGAGCATCCTTAAGCTTGGCACCAGGCCATGACTGGTACAGTCCAAATACTAGAAGCTTGCTGTGCTGTGCTACAATAATTGAGCCTTAGCAGGTGTTACAGAGGTGTGGAAATTGTAAAGAGAGACTGAGAAGGAGATGAGACTGTGGCAAAGAAAAATAGAGGMGCAGGCCAAGAGCTAAACAACTCCTAAAGTTCTGTTAAGTTGCATTTTGCAGCTCAGAGTCATGTCTAGAAAATATATATACACACACAAACTCTGCCTTTGAATAGTTGCTTGGCATCTATATTCAAGTAGATAATTCAGTGAAGTCTGATGTATTGTGCACATATCTATGTGCTTCAAGATATACTCAAACCATTGTAGCAGTTACGCAAAAATCCAGTACAAAAGAGGGCCTAATAAGTGAAAATAAACACAGAAGAGATACATGGAGAGTCTGAGGTAAGAGAA